TCAGATTGGGATATCTGGTCTGTTTCCGTGCTGTATGACTCTATGATTGTTAAACTTGATTCAACTGTACAGGGTATCGTTGTGTTTACCTGTACCCTAGTTTTCAGCTACAAAAGTGATGCAAAGTTGATAACAGGCAGAATAATCCATGCTCATGAGTTGTATCATTGTAATGTAGCTCATGTAGAAATGACTTTCATGAACAGTGTGGACCATTACAAACAGCCTGGTGTGAAAGCTACGATAAAGAAAGAAAAAAATATTGACATTTCAGGTATAGATCTTTGTCTAGACTGGAATCAATTCTGACAAAATGCTATGTCTGTAATGTCACCATTTTCCTTTCTTTATAAATACTACTTGACTGGTTCCAGCATTTTCTGTTGTGGGCTCAGTTTTCCACCATTCATATTACATTACATTTCATTAAAAAACTACAGTCTAGTGTTAGTATTATCAGGAGAAGTTAGGAAGTATATTTTTGTAACAAAGGAAGGAGTATGAGCTAAAATTTCAGAAAAAAATCAGTTAGTGTTGCAGAATAGTCTATTGCTTACTTGTTACTTGTTACTTGCAACAAACTTTTCTTGTAGTTTATATTAATTTGCTTATTCTTCTGTTTTTTTAAAACCGAGGAACTCACAAGACAATTCAAGTTGTTTAGGAATATAGAGAATGCAAGACTGAAATTAAAACAAAGTAATTAGGAAAACAAGGAAATACATGTGAACATATTGTTTAGTAAGATCAACAAAAATCCCAAGATGGTTTATGAAAACTGAAAGAATAAGAAGAAAAAGGTAAAAAAGATAACTTGAGTATTCAAAAGTAGAAGATGTGTACCTTGCTCTTTATAAATACCTTGCATCTGTTTTGATAAGAAGAGACAATGAAGTGGGCATAGTTAAGGAGAAAGATATGAAATATTGGATAGAATAAACAGTCTGATGGAGGGCATCTTAAGTTACTTAGCAATTATGAAAGTGGATAAATTAGCAAGCCCAGATGAAATGTATCTCAGAATTCTGAGAGATGTAAGGCAAGTAGCATAAGCAAAAACAAAAATTGCTGGAGAAACTCAGCAGGTCTGGCAGCATCTGTGGAGAAAAAAACAGAGCTATGTTTCAAACCCTATGACTCAAATTTCTGTTTTTGCTTATTCCAGATCTCCAGCATTTGCAGTTCTTTGCATTATTTTAAGAAATAGCATAGGCTGGGAATATTATTTTCCATTCCTGTCTGGCTTTAGGTATTATGCTGCGGATTAAAGGACTGCTAACATTCTACTTTTGCTTGATAACACAGTGTTGAAGGGATAGCCTGGCTAATCACTGGCCAAGCAGTCTAATGTTGATGGAAAAAAGCTAAGAGACTGAATATGTTGTCTTTTATAAAAGGTTCTGCTTAATCGCGAACAGTCAGCATGGGTTTGTGAAGGGAAGGCTCTGTTTGGCTAACTAATTGAAGTTTTTGAGGAGGTAAGACAGAGGCACAATGAGGGTGGCACATTTAACATGGTCCACATGGATTTTAGCATGGCTTTTGACCAGGTTCTCTACACAGCCAATTCAGTAAATTAAAAGTTCATGGTATCCAAGGGAAAGAGGCAAGTTGGAACAAAACATTGCTTAGTGGGAAGGAAGTAAAGGGTTATTTTAACAAGTGTTTCCATGGCTTAAAAAGATCTTTGTCTTTGTCAACAACTTAGCTTCAAATTTAGGGACCATGATAAAGAGGTTTGCAACTGATAATTGCCATGTGGTCAATAGAGATGTAAAGGCTGTAGACTGTAAGATATAAAAGGAGTTGGCAAGTAGGAAAAATGGCAAATTAATTCAATCAAGAGAAGTGTGAGGTGATGTTTTTGGAGAGGAAAACAAGGCAAACGATTACATAATAAATTGTAGTGTTCTGAAAAGCATTTAAGAATATAGGGAACTTTGAGTTCATGTCCATTATGTCATGACAGCAGATGATAACCCTGGATTATTTACAGACATTTTGAACTTTTAATAACAATGTCTTTTTTTAAAAAAAAGAGAGGAAATACAGCCGAAAGATAACCACAGGTGTAAATTAAGCGGCTGCTGGTAAAGCCCTGAGAGAAACCATTGAATATCATACCTGAAAAGATGCCAAGGGAACTTTAAACTGCAAACCTTTAAAGGGAGAAATGCAATTCAATAAAAACTAAACAGTGATCTCCAGAGATTGCAGAGGTAATAAGGGACTAACCATCCTGTCAGCACAAAGCCATCTCCTGTGCATTATGTTCCAAACTGCAGATATGTTTCTCTTTTACCCTTCCAGGAATATACAAGAAAAGGGATTAAACTCAACTGCAACCAGCAGTGGCATGTGTTAGCAGACTAATGTGTTGTGAAGGTCACAGCTTGAGGACAACCATTAGAAATCCTAGGCTGAAGGTAACGAAAGAATGTCTCTTGCTTTGAGTACAGAATTTACAGTTTTAACCTGCGCGTATATGTCACATTTTATCATCTTAGCAGCTAATAAACTCAGCCATTCTTAAACTCACTGAAACCTGGTTAACTTGGCTCCATTTAAACCAATACATTTGGATTGGCAAAAGGTAACAATGAGGAAAGGGGACCACTTTAAATTAATCCCATTGTATCTAATTAAGGGAGGGGTGTTGCATTAAGAAAGTGAGCTAATTCCTTTCTCTTCACCTGGGAATACAGCCACATGGGGTATGCCGTCTAGAATCATAACAGGTTAGGGACTCTCACCTAGGAACGGGTTCTGATATTGAACATTCCTGAAAGCAGCAGGGCAGAAGGATTAGGTGGTCAAGGGACATCTCTATGTATAGGTTCCTCCATGCTTTGCCCCTGGCTAAACCAGGCCTAAGCCCTCAGAGCATCTGGCCTCTTATACACCCAGAATTTTCTTGTCCCGCTTTTAGCTAGGCCTTCTATTGCCTAGGATCTACACTCCAGAATTCCTTCCCTGAACCTCGCTGTCTCTCCACTTTTCTCTCCTCCTTTAGAATGCTCCTTAATGGCTATCTCTGACCAAGCTTTCATGGTTCACAGTCGGACTTTGATAATGTTCCTATGATGAGTCTTGGGACCTTTTATAATGTTACCATCTATATTCAGACATGATTGTTGTTTGGTAGCAGAGAAATGTCTGCACACAACCTGAAATATAACTGGCCCATTGATGCTTTATGGGTTTGGTTCCTTGCAAGCATTGATTTTGCACTCAGATTTTCACATTCTCTCTCAGGACAGATTACTTGATGGAGTTCGTTTAATAGAAATTTATGGATAAAGAGAACAAATTTCTGTCCTTTATTTTGCTTACTTTTTCTCAGCCGCAATATGATTTGTTAGGCTATCATTCCTGATCATTGGAAGTGCATGTTCAGATATTGCATTTGCTCAAATTTGAGTTCAGAAATTATGGTTGTTATGTGAAGAATATCAAGTTGAGGTATCAGTGGAATTCCAGGAGAGGTGGATCTGTGCCTGAGCATGAACTAGTGCTTCATAGAAGTGTGGAGTCAGGCAAGGAAACACAGAAGGTAATCATTGGCTTGGACATTTAAAAAAAAAGGCTTTCTAGCCTATTTTCCAGAAACAGTGTGAACAACCGAAACTAAAACCAGGTTGTCTGGTCATTATCACACCAGTATTTGTGGAAGCTTGTTGCGCTTGAAATGACTGCTCTGTTTCCAATATTAAAACAGTAACTAAATGTTAAAAGTTCTTCTTTAGCTGCAGGATGTTTTGGGATATCCTGAGTCCATTCAGGGTGCTATGTAAATGCAGACTTTTTTTATTGTAAATAGTTATTATCATTTTCTATTACTTTGAACTGCTACCTTTGTTTTTGTTGCCCTCCCCAAATTTACATATTCCTCCTTTGGTTGATGCCCCCAGTATACATTGGAAAATCCAGGATGAGAACCCCAATGAAACCTAAATCTGCAGCAATTAAAAGATGTGATATTCTTAAGCAAATGACTGGATTTATAACAGTTTTCAGGATTGTGATTCTGTGGTGCAGAAGAGAAAGACATTATTAAAATATAATGAGTAGTCTTGTCAGATCTCATTTATTGAGTCCAATTCTCTCAGATTTACAGCTTCTGCCACACATTCATGCAATTATACCAGAATGTCACATTAAATGGTGACTTTTTTCCTTTCTAAAGTTGCAGAACATCATGACAGAAATGACTGTACAGTTTTAACCTTGTGCTGACAAACTGTGTTAGCTTCCATTTGTCATCTGTCTGTCAGCAAACATCCTCCTTACCCTTGTTTCCATAACAGCAAGCAAGAGTCTCATGATAATCTCAATGGCTGCAAACCTTCTCCTCATCAGTGCCCCCGCATCAAGTGCTTCTTGTAACTATCCTATGAGCAATCAGTGCGTTCCTTATCATTACTCCCAAGCAGAAAGAAAGTGCCTCATAATAGTCCTGAGTAGCAAAGACGCTCTTCCCATCACCAAGATCAGCAAACTCCTGTTCATTATTGTCCCACAGCAATCAAACTTCTTTTAACTGTCCTGTCAACAGCGGGCATGTTATTCTTCATTGTTCCCACAACTGCAAATGAGTTCCTCCTCATTATTTCCAATACAGCAAGTGCACTTCTTTCCATTATACTGGGATGAGCAAGCATCCTCTTCCGTTGTTCTCATAGCAGTAAGTGCACTCTTCACTGTTATCTTTATTCTCATCAATACCCTCTTTATCACTGTTCTCAGAGGTATAACCTTGTTTCCCACTACTGTTCCAAAATTAGCAAGTGCACCCGTTACTTTATCCCAAGAACTGCAAGCATGCTCCTCACCATTGCTTGCACAGCATAGAATGGACTTCTCATTATTGTTTCCTCATTAACACACACTTTCAGCATTTAGGTCTGTCATTATCAATTTAGAAATTTCAATAACAACTCTTCAAAAACAAGAGAACCAATTGCAATTTCAGACTTTGACACTTTCATTGGCGTTTTTACCTGAGTGTGTGAAGGACGAAGACCTTTCCGTATGTATAAGCCAAAGAGTGCATCCTTTCCCAGAGAGACATTAAACTTGACAAATTGTGGCCGCTCTATGTATAACTGGGATCTCCAGAAAACTCCTGGAGGTACTTCCTGTGACACTCTTCGACCAATATCCACGTCTCCCAAATCAATGCTGCTGTTTTTCACAGCTGTCGTCCCTATAACAATGTAAGATGTGGAAATGTAAGAGAAATTGAAGTAACAGGTAAACAGTGAAAGAACAATGAACTGCAGATAAATAAGGATCACCACATTTTTTGCTCATTCCATTACAAACAAAGAAAAAATCTGCTTCCTCTATGATCCTGACCATCCCCTTAACTGGCAAAGACAGCACAAGATAATTGCAATCTGAATGGGAAAATCTATTGCAGTGAAGTGATTTTCATCTCTATATTCAATGACTGGGGCTGAGGAGCAAAAATAGTTTGAAATTAGCTTTGAAACTGGGAACTACTTGCATAGAGTACATATTTTCCATTTGAACTAAATTAGGAGGAAAAGGAGGAGTTTTGACAGGTTTCCCTGGAATGTCGGAGGCTGAGGGGTGACCTTACAGAGGTTTATAAAATCATGAAGGGCATGGATAGGGTGACTAGCCAAGGTCTTTACCCCTGGGTAGGGGAGTCCAAAACTAGAGGGCATAGGTTTAAGGTGAGAGGGGAAAGATTTAAAAGGGACCTGATGGACAACTTTTTCACACAAAGGGTGGTGCATATATGGACCGAGCTGTCAGAAGAGGTGGTGGAGGCAGATACAATTACAACATTTAAAAGGCATCTGGATGGGTACATTGAATAGGAATGTATGGAGGGATGTGAGCCAAATACTGGCAAAGGAGGAAGAAATCAGGTTAGGAGATAGCAAGAACTGGAGATGCTGGAAGTCAGAGTCAATACAGTGTGGAGCTTGAGGAACACAGCAGGTCAGTTGGCATCAGCGGAACAGGAAAGTCAAATTTTCAGATCAGGACCCTTCATCAGGACTAGGGAGGGGGAAGAGAACTCAGAAATAAATAGGGGCGATGGGGCTGGGTGAAGGCAGGTGGGATGGCGATAGATGGATGCAGGCAGGGGGTTGTAGAGATTGGTCAATGGGAAGGGTGGGGTGAATAGGCAAGAAGGAAGATGGACAGGTTGTGTCAGGTCAAGGAGGCAGGGATGAGAGGGAGGGTTAGACATGGGATGAGGCCGGGGGATTGGGGAGATTTTGAAGCTAGTGAATTCTACGTTGAGGCCGTTGGGCTGTAAGCGCCTGAGGTGGAATATAAGGTATTGTTCTTTCAATTTTCGCGTGGCCTCATTGTGACATTGGAGGAGGCCCAGGATGGACATGTTGCTGAGGGAATGGGAACGGGAGTTGAAATGGCTGGCAACAGGAAGGTGGTGTTGATTGGAGCGTACAGAGCGCAGATACTCCGTGAATCTGTCACCGAGTCTGCACTCAGTCTCTTCAATGGGGAAGAGACCACATCAGGAGCAACGGATGTAGTAGACCAGGTTAGAAGATGTATAGGTAAATCCCTGTTGGATATGGAATAATTGTTTGGAGCCTTGGACAGAGGTAAGAGGGGAGGTGTAAGGGCAGGTGCAGCACTTCCTGTGAATGCAGGCAAAGTTGCCGGATGTGGTGGGGTTGATGGGAAGCGCGGAGCGGTGGAGGGAATTGAGGGAAAGAGCGGTTCCTACAGAAAGCAGGTAGGGGTTGGGAGGGGAATATCTCTGTGGTGGGGTCTGATTGCATGTGGTGAAAGTGGCGAATGATGATGCGTTGGATTCGGAGATTGGTGGGGTGGTATATGAGGACCAGGGGGACTCTGTCCTTGTTGTTGGGGTTTTTATTATTCATTGATGGGATGAAGGTGTCGCTGGCCAGGCAGCATTTATTGCCCATCCCTAATTGCCCAGAAGGCAGTTAAAAGTCAACCACATTGCTGTGGGTCTGGAGTCACATGTAGCCCAGACCAGGTAAGGATGGCAGTTTCCCTCCTTAAAGGACATTAGTGAACCAGATGGGTTTTTCCTGACAATTGACAATGGATTCATGGTCATCATTATATTGTTAATTCCAGATATTTATTGAATTCAAATTCCACCAGCTACCATGGTGGGATTCGAACCTGGGTTTGAGGGCAGAAGTGTAGGAAATGTAGGAGATGTGGTTGAGGGCATTATGAATCATGGGAGAGGGGACATTATGATCCTTGAAGGAGGACATCTGGGATGTCTGGGAGTGGAATGCTTCAGCCCTGGAGCAGATGCAGTGGAGGCGGAGGAATTGGGAGTGTGGGATCACATTTTTGCCAGAGGGTGGGTGAGAGGAGGTGTAGTCAAGGTAGCTATGGGAGTCGGTGGTTTGAAATAGATGTCAATACTGAGTCGGTTGCTGGAGACAGAGAAAGAGAGATTCAGGAAGGGGAGGGAGATGGCAGAGATGGTCCAGGTCTGTTGAAAGGTGTTGATGAAGTGGATGAACTGTTCAAGCTCCTCGCGGGAGCACGAGGCAGCACCGATGTAGCGGAGGAAGAGGTGAAGGATGGTCAGGTTAGGAAATCTGGTTGACGCAGACGAGTTGGACCGAAGGGCCTATTTCCGCACTGTATGACTCTATGACTCTATAAGGAGCTAATACAGATTTCTCTGGTTGGGGGGTAAAGGTATTTATCTAACCCACCTGGTGAAAAACTAATGAGATTGATTAAGTTGGCCTTCCATTCTACACTCTGATTTTATGTTCTATTTTTCCCTTTTCAGTATCTTTTATACCCTGCCAGTCTGACCTGAAAAAGTGGGTTAGGTTGAAATTAGCTCCATAGCTGAGTTATTATGAAAAGAGTACTGAAGGAAATATTGTAATTAGGCTGAGAAATAACAAATAAGTCCCTGAAGAAAACATGTCAGGGTGCGAAGAGACGAAAGGCAGAAAGGGTTAAGACTAGTTTCCTGATATTTTAGATTTAAAAGGTGATTATCAGTTGACTACATATGTTGGTCATTGTTTCAATTTGGCCTAAACCAGATGAAGTGAAAATTGCCCCTCATTGTAAGCTAGAATGGTCCTAAGTGAAATAAATATGCTGAAATCTGGTGTGGAACATGCAGTACAAAGGTACCACTAAGTTGTCAGCCTCTCTCAGTTGCTGCACAAAAAGGTTATGTTGGATTGGAAATATCATGCTAGTATGGTTGAGTCAATTTTCAGGGAGGTAGTTGAAGAATTTTGCAGAAGGCACTATATCCTGTACCTTATCCATTCTTGAACTACAAGGCCTGAATCTTTCGGGTTATTTTTGGCAAAGTGTGAGTTGTGGCGAGTATGTGGAGTGATTCTTACTTTGAGGTAGAATGAGCTTTCTCACTGTAACTTAGTAAAACCTGCCACATTCATTGGTGTTTGGCAGGCCATTGGCATTTGGAGGACTGCCTTAGGCTAGGCCCCTGTTCAGAGCTGACAGGAGATGGTCCTGTGGTGTCGGGCAATGAGTGATATGATCCAGTTGTACAGGGAGCAGCACCAGACGGGTGTACAGGAGGCAGTGTCTCTCATAGCTGAGAAACTGGAGGGATGCAGGCAGTCCATAGATGCAATGCCTGTTATTGGCCAGATTCTGCAGCAATGCAGCAAGTCCTGTGTCTGTCTGTGGACAGATCAGTGACTGTCTTGGAGAGACAGCACTCTTAGCGGCTGCTAAAGAGTTGACAACACCTCCACCCCAAAGCCCCATGTATTGGTCCTCAGGACTGGGACAGGCCAAGAGTGGTAAGGGGAGTCTTGAGCCCAGTCCAGGTGCCCCCTGCTCACAAGGAGACAGGGTTGTTCCGCAAGGCACCCAGCCAGAGGAGAAACCGCACACAGCTTCCTCCTCAATCTCCACTCAGGGGTCTGTGGAGGTGGCTTGGCCTTGCTCCTCCACTTTGGTTGCCCCCCTCCGAGCCTGGGAAATTTTAGCCAAGGAGGGTCAACTTGCACCCTTGGCATGTTCGGCTCATTCGGACACATTGCACCCCAAGGGTCGCCCGACCAAACTTCCAAGGCCAACAGGCTGGGGCATCATTTCCCATCATTGCCTACTGTTTAGCTGGCTGTGAGGGGAGGAGTATATTTCTGAGACAGTTCGCCAGTAGTGACCGTGACAGGGTGATGCAGCTGACAAATGGTCAATGCTGCAGGATGGCCACGGGATGGGGACTCCGCCTGTATCGTCCAAGATAAGGTGTTTCAGGGTAGTATTGTTCCCTTGTGATCACCCAGTGACTGATTGCAGATGCTAGCCCCTCACACATGTCAGATCACTTACTCCACCCATCGTGAGTCCCTTCACCGCCATTGCTCTTAATATTGTGTTCTATCAATCTGCTTCACGATGAGAATGACAGTGAGTGGTTCTCTGCCAATGACTTTCAGCCTCAGCATGAACATGCTGCTGGGACTCCAACATTACCCTCTCCTTTCCAAGTGAGGTCAAAGCCATGTATATGCGACTGCAGCTGCCTACCTGTATCACCTCCATCCCCCGGACTCCTTCCCCCTTCATTCCTGTGAATGGAGGTGATGGAATAACTGTGGCTCACTGACCTACCAGCGCCAGCCGTCACCTGCCCACGCCCTCAGCTGGTGGTCATACAGCAGTAAGAGTCCTTCCTCATGACTGGCGTGTATGGAGGCAGAGGATTGACTGTGACCCATTCCCTGGAGCACAGCGACACCCACTGTTATACTTGACCAGGTCGGAAACCCGGGATTGGCACGGGATGCTGCACTTGACTAACCATGCTGGGATGCCTGACCGATGGGTGCCCCTTGGATTACACTGTAGGGAACTTCCCTAACTCCCCTAAGATTGTCAGACATGTTGCATCGCTTGCTGCAGATGCTGGGTGCTTGATGCGAACGCTGAGGGCACGTAGTACAGTGCTAGACTGATGTGCTACATTGGCATAAAGCAAGGTGCACAGGCCATTGACTAAGGACTCCTGCATATCATGGTCAAGTGCCTGGTTGTGTGACTATACCATGTGTTGATGCAAGGCACAGCAGGGCAAGGCGAGGCATGTTGGCTGCGGACATGCTCACAGTAGGTGAATGCATGTTGAGAGAGCAAGGGAGCAGCCCTGGCAGGCAGCTTGCTCCACGTCTTGTGATGGGTTCC